CCAAAAAATCCTTAGGAATTTACTACGAAATCTCGAAGCCAAAAAAGAGTTTGATTCGTCTAAAGTTAAAGTACCTTGTTAAAGTGTGAAATCAACATCGACTAACACTAACCCCCCTATAATATTGGACTTTCCGGGAACTCCCAACGAAATCTTGGAGTCCACGAGATGGGGTGAACTAAAAAAAAGTAACCGCACAGGGTGCTGTTTTTTTAATATCTTATCAAGCTTCACAATATAACAAACACGTGAACGCTGCGGCTATAGAGCCTTCATCGGCACATAAATAAATCAAGCAATACAACACTAATACACACAAATGACTTAGCTTAGTATCTCAAAATAGCCAGGTCGATGTCTTGTCAAACATTTTATTCTAGCCTCTATACATACATCTGCTCTAGTTGTTAGCAGCTTGCCCTGGCTCGGCTGTGCGCTGTTTCATGAGGATAGAGTTTGCCAAGAAGGCCACGCGGGCACACACACATAAGACCAGAGAGAGAGGGGGGGGGGGAGAGAAAGAGAGGGAGAGAGAAAGAGAGGGAGAGAGAGAGAGAAAACTTTATTAGAAAAGAACTAACAGTTGTAATAGCAGTAATTACGATAATAATGCGCTTTATCGATTTTCCATTCCAGCACTTGATCGCAATGATTACTGTTTTTCGTCCACAGGTGGACAGTTACAATTATGAGGTGTGCGTAATAAACGATACCAGTAAAAAGATTCCCATCCTCAACTGCACGAATCCAGAGAGTAGCAAGTTTTTTACCATGCTCATCTTTGAGTTTCAACCCATTCCTGGCATTCCGGACTTTCAGCTTGGGAAAAATTATTATTTTATTAGTAAGTGGAAATTGTGTCTTTCATTTGATATTTCTGTTCTTGCACCTGCTGATCTATCAATCCATCCATCCGTTTGTCTTTCTGTCTACCTTGCTACCGGCCTATCTATCTATTCATTCATTCATTCATTCATTCATTCATTCATTCATTCATTCATTCATTCATTCATTCATTCATTCATTCATTCATTCATTCATTCATTCATTCATTCATTCATTCATTCATTCATCCGTCTATTAATCATTACTTGCATGCTTACCCATACCAGTTGTCTCATTATGTGGGTATGTGTCTGTCAGTCCGTCTGTCCGGTTTTTTTTTAAATCTGTATATCTGTCTTTTGAAAGAAGCTAATGAAAGATCTCTATATATAACAATAAGAAGACACATAATGAGAAGAGAGACATTGGAGAAAATCATGACAGCTGGAAAGATCAGTGGACAAGGGGTAGAGAGATGATGATGGATGGGCTGAAACGATGGCATGGAGGGATATCATCAAGAGAGCAGTTCCAGGGATTGTGTGATATGTGGAAATGCATGAGCGCCCATGCCAGTTGGTAGGGCACATAATGATATCTATCTTTTATGTACATGCTCCCTGGAAACAGTTGGAGTGTTAGAGAGCTGCCAGATTATTGTTGGTTATGGCCATTCACTCTGCGGCGATGGGAAAATTGGATCTCATCAGTAAAGACAGTGGCTAGGCCACCGACTAGTACATTCACTGTCCAGAAGGAAAGCAATGACAAACTTCCTTCTGCAAAACTTGCCAAGAAACCATAAAAGTCATGAAAAAAAAAAACATGAGAAGAAACTTCTAGAACTGAACATTGAAGAAGGTTGGCAATTAAACACGATAAAACACGGAAAACTAAAATGTATTGGTCACTTGAAACGTCACGAAAGTTTAGAGAGAACACAAATGTAGGGGTACATGTCTGGAAAGAGAGGAAGAGGAAGGCCAAAGAGAAAATGGATGCAGGATGTGGCGAAGGATCTCCAGATGGGTGTGTCGGACGCGGGACATCTTGCTTGTGATCGACACGTTTTCCGGAAGGTTGTTATGAGAGCAAGGTTCTGCAGAAGACATGTTACTAAATAACTGACTGATGTACATTCTTGTTATTAGTTCTCAATGTCCCATAGGTTTCCTTATATAGGAAAAACCATATCGATAAGGCCATTACAAGCATCACTCCAGCTTTGCTTTTGCCGGCTCTTCAACTGAAGAGGACACGCTTCGAAATGTGTTTCCAAAACAATGCTAGTCACGTAGACCACATTATGTAACTAATAATGACTTCATAAACAATGTTCCCCACCCCACCCACCCATTTATGGAAACTTTTGGGATATCCTGTATATTTCTGCCCTTTTGTGACACCCTGTGTGTAAAATGACTTTCTCCCAATCGCTCCGTTTCTCTGCCCATTATTTTCTCTGTGTCAGTCAGTGTCTTCTGACCTTCCCTGCCTTGATCTCTCCATCAATTTCTTTCTCTCTCTGTCTTATATCCGTTTAATTTGTCTCTGTACTAGTATTCTTGTGTGCTGTTTATGTTTTTCTGTTTGTCAGTTTTACTGTGTTCGTCTTTAAGCCAGCTGGTATGCTTGTACTTGACCAACGAACGCTAAACAAGCTTCGAAATCAGTATCATTCGGCATTGCATTGCAAGTTATCTGTGTGTTCCAGTTTTTCTTCTTCTTCTTCTTCTTCTTCTTCTTCTTCTTCTTCTTCTTCTTCTTCTTCTTCTTCTTCTTCTTCTTCTTCTTCTTCTTCTTCTTCTTCTTCTTCTTCTTCTTCTTCTTCTTCTTCTTCTTCTTCTTCTTCTTCTTCTTCTTCTTCTTCTTCTTCTTCTTCTTCTTCTTCTTCTTCTTCTTCTTCTCTTCTTCTTCTTCTTCTTCTTCTTCTTCTTCTTCTTCTTCTTCTTCTTCTTCTTCTTCTTCTTCTTCTTCTTCTTCTTCTTCTTCTTCTTCTTCTTCTTCTTCTTCTTCTTCTTCTTCTTCTTCTTCTTCTTTCTTCTTCTTCTTCTTCTTCTTCTTCTTCTTCTTCTTCTTTCTTCTTCTTCTTCTTCTTCTTCTTCTTCTTCTTCTTCTTCTTCTTCTTCTTCTTCTTCTTCTTCTTCTTCTTCTTCTTCTTCTTCTCTTCTTCTTCTTCTTCTTCTTTCTTCTTCTTCTTCTTCTTCTTCTTCTTCTTCTTCTTCTTCTTCTTCTTCTTCTTCTTCTTCTTCTTCTTCTTCTTCTTCTTCTTCTTCTTCTTCCTCTCTCTCTCTCTCTCTGTTCATCTCTTTTTGTTTTCCTTTATCTTCCCCTCTCTCACTCTCTCTCTCTCTCTCTCTCACTCTCTCTCGGGAATTCAAGTCACTCTGTCTGTTGTTGTATCATCTTCATCTCAGTATTCTTTTGTAAATGAATCTATCTCAACCTTTTTGTGAATGTTCGTCTTCAAATTCTACTTTTAACCATTCCTCCCATACAGAGTTGTACAAAATACAGTTATATTTTTTCTACAATTCCTTGTTCTTTACAATTCATGTTCCTCTGTTCTCTCTATAATTCCTTTTGCATCAAAGTTCCTAACCTTTATTTCCATATACGTATGTTATGGTGCAACCTTAAGTATAGCTATATTGACTATGTGTCCAGGCGATGGGAAAATGAAGACGAAGCTAGGGTATATTGATATTTCATCATGTGTTGTCTTATTCCATGTTGACAGCTTGACTTCCGCTTTATTGGTTTTTATGAGTTGTTGGCACAGTGGATTTTTTTGTGATAATATTCCCTAATGATACTCTCCTGTAGCATTCATTACGGCTGTCTAGAACATTAGCTTGTTTGGCCTTTGGTCATCTCTCTCTCTCTCTCTCTCTCTCTCTCTCTCTCTCTCTCTCTCTCTCTCTCTCTCTCTCTCTCTCTTTTATGTATGTGTCTGTGTGTATGGCTGTGTGTGTATCTGTGCCTGATTGTGTATGGCTTCGTGGGTATATATGTGCGTGTGTGTATGTGTGTGTCTATGGGTGTGTCTATTTGATAATGTGTGCATGTATCTCTGTTTGTTTCCGTCTGTGTGTATGTCTTTGGGTGTCTGCGTGTGTGTCTGTGTAAATGTTGCGTATGTCCCTGTGTGTCTGTGCCTGCGTGTGTGTGTGTGTGCCTGTGGCGGCCTGTGTGTTATGTGTGAGTTTATGTCTGTTTGCGTCAGTGTGTGTGTTTGTAGCTGTCTTTCTGCGAGGCTGCGTTTATGTATGTATGTGTGTTTATGTCTGTATATATGTGTGTGCGTGTCTCTATGACAGGCCTGCCTGCCTGCCTAATTTGTGGCCCTTTAAAAATAACTTTCGTTCTCTGTTTCTCTCTCTCTCTCTCTCTCTCTCTCTCTCTCTCTCTCTCTCTCTCTCTCTCTCTCTCTCACACACACACACATCTGCATTCAACTGTGATTTTGGCCTCTCTTTCCAGTTGGTGACTCCAAGTATTTGTAGGGTCTGCCTGGATTATCTCTCTGCCCTTGTAGGTCTGCCTGGATTATCTATCTGCTCTTCTGGTCTGCCTGGATTATCTCTCTGCTCTTCTAGGTCTGCCTGGATTATCTCTCTGCCCTTCTAGGTCTGCCTGGATTATCTCTCTGCTTTTCTAGGTCTGCATGGATTATCTCTCTGCCCTTGTAGGTCTGTCTGGATTATCTATCTGCTCTTCTGGTCTGCCTGGATTATCTCTCTGCTCTTCTGGTCTGCCTGGATTATCTCTCTGCTCTTCTAGGTCTGCCTGGATTATCTCTCTGCTTTTCTAGGTCTGCCTGGATTATCTCTCTGCCCTTCTTGGTCTGCCTGGATTATCTCTCTGCTTTTCTAGGTCTGCCTGGATTATCTCTCTGCCCTTCTAGGTTTGCCTGGATTATCTCTCTGCTCTTCTTGGTCTGCATCATCGTCCGTTTCCTTGAGACACATTTTTTTAAAAATTGACCTGACCTGACATGTCGACGCAACTTGTTTATGGCTGTTTGGAAATGCCCTGAGAAATAAGCGCTGCCAACCCAGTAGCAGTATAATAATAAATCATGGAATGAGGAGCCCATGCTTAACACACTTCTAGGCACGCAAATCTGTCTTTTGAATGCTAAACTCCGCCAATAGACTCGACCCCCCCCCCCTCTTCCCTCCCCCGGCCTTGTCGGTTTGCTACCATGTTTTTCTCAAAATTTACCGGATAGTCATACTGAATTTTCATTGTGATGTCTCCTTCCTAAGTATACTCTATCACTCTACATTTATTCATCATCATCATGTGCCTTGCCAGTTGGCGTAGGCGCTCATGCATCTCCACAGATCACGATCCCTGATTGCCTGGAACAGCTCTCTTGATGATATGCTTCCATGCCATCGTCTCAGCCCATCCAGTATCATCTCTCTTAGTCTGCCTCTGCTCCTTTCCCCACTAATCTGTCCAGTTGTCACAATGTTTTCCAATGCCCCTCTTCTCACTACGTAGCCGAAGAACAGCGTTTGTCTCCTTCTTATTGTTATATAAAGAGATCTACTTTCATTAGCTTTTTTTTTTTAAACAGTCGTAATTACACTGGTCGTCCAAGGTATTCGTAACATTCGTCTCAGAAACCACATCTCTGATGCTTCTAAATTCTTCTTAATTTGTTCACTGACATTCCTAGATTCGCTGCCATACAGCAGAACAGGTTCTATGTAACATTTTAGCACTTTCTGTCTCACATTAAGTGAGAGCGACGTTTTTTCGCTGCATGATATTTTCGGGATGCTATTTATATAAGCCTCACCACAAATATAAGCCCTAGTTAAGATCGTCATCTAGAGACACTTACCTGGCACAGGTAATTAACCTTTACGTCTTTTTTAGGATGAAATTTGTTGTTATTTGAAGCCCCACTTTGGCTTTTGCCAGGGGCCGCAATATAGGCTGGCTATAAATATGGCCAATTGTCTGAACGCGGTTTCTGGGACCTCTCCACGGTGATCCTCATCCACATGGCGGCACTTTGTGTCATCGGGTGTTTATCGCTGGTGTGATGTCCTAGTGGGGTAGAAAGTCAGTCAGTCAGTCAGTGGTCAGCTAGAAGGAGAGACTTGTTGCCGAATGGCCAGTCGGGGTACAGACGCCACTGGTACACGTTTGATAATGAACTGACGCGGTTCATCAAAATTCAAGGTAGTCACTCGTGTCCACGAAAGTAAGCTCTACGGTCTTATTTTCAGGAAAACACAGTGTTAGTTTGTTTTGTTTCCCTAAAGGAATCGCCTGGCTCTTTGAGAAGCTGTTTGTATTATTAACGTTTCCATCTTTAACAGTCTCTTTGTATTGCCGACATAAATTGTATTTGTTGTTGCATTTCAACAGCGACCTCTGGTGGGCGAAAGTTTAACATCAACAACCAATATGAGGGTGCATGTAAAGAAAATCAGATGAAGATGATGCTGCGAGTGCGACCAAAGACTACAGAGGGTGTTAGTAAGTATAAACATCTGTTTACCTTTAATGTTTACTGTTTGAAAAATAGGTGATTTATTAATATTTGAAACCTTGGGTTATTTTCTTTCCTCAGACATCTTACTCTTATTATTCTGATTTTTTTTTCTAACTCTTCTTTTTTTTTTTCTTCCTTCTCATCCTTTTTCGTCTTCTCTTTTTTTCTACTTCGTCTTCTTCCCCTCCTACCCTTTCGCCTTTTCCTCATGCTGCATTTTTGCAGTTTATTACCTCATGCACCATTAACTCTTATCAAAACTCAGCCAGGCCTATCCATCCTTTGGTGTCTCTTTGAGCTCACCCCATGTCCTCATCTGTCTAACCTGTCTCTAGTTCTCTGTAGCCATGTGTTTCTTGGTATCTCTTTCTTTTTTAGATCTATGTCATATCTAGCATCAGTGACCTATCCTCACCCGTTGAATCATATATATATATATATTATACGACTTAGTCTGAGGCTTGAGCGTTGCAATGTCAGTATGCTGGGTTCGATCCCAACTGTAAGCAGTTTGGCAGCAGAAAGTCTTGCATTGGTTTCAAGAAAGATTCAGAAGCACTGGCAAACTATTGAACGTAAGATTTGCCTAGAAAACCCACAACCGCCAAAAAATACTGGGGTTGGTTCTGCAACGTCCTGTAAAGGATACCCAACTAACCCAGAGCCTTACAGAATTGCAGGGGAATAAAACCATATCATTACATAGGATTCAACCAATGTAGAGGTTGTGTGACCTAATCTGTTCACACAGGCAGAAGAATACAGCTATGCCAATAATGTGATTATGCTAAGACTAAAAGTCACTGCACAAGTATATGATGTTTTCGATTCTTTGTGCTCTCACAGATAGCAACCCAGCCTCTAACACCAATAACAATAACAACCCACCTACAGCCCAGCTTAAAACAACGTTAACATCAACAACCACAGCAACTACAGCTTTACTTACTACTACTACCACCACTGCTACAACAGAAGTTACCAAATCAACAGCAAGGCGGCCTTCGAAAAATAACCATCACGGTATGTTGTTTATATTCATGGTAAATTAATTAGATCGTGGATAGGTTATTGTCATCATTGCACAAAGATTCATTTAGCCTGTTTGTTAGTGTTCGGATCCCCTACCCAGGCAATTCCACAACATTTAGCAGCTGACAACACGTTTTGTGTTGATTTCTTACTCTTATTTGACTTCAGATCCGTCTTATCTTGACCTTGCTGAGCACACTCATTGAAATGGGGCCGCGTTAGCGTAGTCGATAAGACGCTCGCTTTCAAATCCAGCTGCGACTTGCTGCAGCCCACGGTCGGTGTTTGAAACCGGGCGGTTCCCGGGGTTCGCCCAGCCTCTAGGAAATGGTACCAGAGTGATACTCTGGGGTAAATGGAGGAACGTCGCTGTAGCTACAGAGTTACGTGCGAACGGCGACACAAGCGGACAATTCGTACCAGCTGTCCGTACTGGTGGCAGAGCACTTATGGTTTATAACCGTGTGTAATGACGCTGGTTCACATCTCCCGACTTTACCTTTACACTCACTGAATCGTTGATAGTATTTATAAAGGAAAGATAACCCATTAGTACTTGATACAGTAAATTGTTTTTATTTCGTTATTTCCCCTTTTATGAGATGAAATATGTCCAGGATTCATTTTTTATGAGTGTTTCTATCATCGAAGGTCGTAACCTTGCGTGTTGTTGGGATAGCAAATGCTATGTTGACTGTCTGATCAGCATCTTCCACCTTTGAAGGTCATTTGCAGTGGACTTCATGCCTAAGGTCTGTCCAGTCAGTCAAGATCTGCATTCAGGTCTGTCTTGGTCTGCCTTTCTCCTCTTCCCCTCTACCGAGGCCTGTAATACTATTTCTGAGAGGCCATTAGATCTTATCACATGTCCGTATCATTGATGTTTTCACTATTGTTAAAAGAGGTTAATTTCTAAATGTTTTACCTTTTTGATATTTTTATTTTTTTAATTTTATAATTCGACCTCATGAAAACTGATTTCTTGGGTCTTTCCTACATGATTTAGAACTGAATTTGCAGGCTCCCGGGAATTGTATGAATTTTGTGAATTTATATTGTGTAGGAGGAAGGCACCTAGTGAACTGGTTAGACAGTGGTCTTCTGTAAGTGAAGTGTATACATAGTGCTAGACCAATATTGTATAGGTGGCGTCCGTGGTTTAGGCGTTGCGAGTCCGAATTGTAATCCAACATACGGCGATCGAAACCCACTGCTGGCTGCATGGATTTTTATCATGGTATGGGGCGTCACAGGTTGACCCAGCTTAAAATGGGTACCAGGATGGCTGTCCTGGGGAAGTAGAGACGGCTGGCAAAATGCTGACCACATTACCCATCCAGTGCCGCTTGGTCTGTAAAAATATGGGACGCTCTTCCCATATATCCGATGCGCCTAAGGAATGATAAGGGATCTGTACTTTTTTACTTAAAAAAAAATATTGTACAGACCAACTGGTATACGATGGGTGATGTGATCGTCATCACAGTGGTCGCTTTTACATCCAAGGGCTTTACCTAGTACTCATTTTAGGCTAGCTTAACCTGGGAGGTCATTGTAAAACTCAATGCCTACACAAGGGAGAATTAAAACTTATCTACACTTTTCTTTCTGCAGTTTATTTACATGAAGCTAGGGCTTCACTATGAACATAATTGTCTATGATATCTCCCTCCTTATCAATGCACTTTGCCCAACAGTCAACAAGCTTGCATTTTCATTCCAAATAAAAGCTTTCCGGTTGATCATGAAGCAACTTTTGCACCACATTTTGAACATCTAAGTCTGAGGAAAATCGGCAACCTCTTCATGCATTACACTTGTGTGATCACCTTAAACTTCTCAATCCACAAAAACACAGTTTTACATGATAGTGCACTTCCCCCATATTGTGATTTTATTCTACAATGAAATTCTGAACCTTTGACACCTTCTGACCAATGGAATTATATCACTGCTCATTGTGCCTCTTTGGTGCAAATTTCTAAAGGAGCAGCCATGATCTATCTGCAACAGAAGGAAGAAGAATCCCCTGTGTGGGTTCCGGGGCCCCATTGTGGGGAAAACAAGAATAGACCCACTGCCTCCCCAAAAGCATGTCGTAAGAGTCGACTAATTGGGGAGCTTCCTTTGAAGTCGGAGTGCATCTGCCGGAGAGGCAAGGAACCAGCAGTCTGTATTCAAAAGAATGAGATATGTAAAACTGATGCACATGCAACACTCAGGTTCTGGAACAGGACTGCAGTTCAGTAGTGGACGAGCAACCAGAACTTTCCGCCAGAGTATACAGCTGGTGAACGCGAAGAAGAAGAAGAAGGAAGAAGAATGATGGAATTAGGATTCATTTTTCATAGCACAACCACAACAGTATAACAATAAAATATATTTCTATTGTTTCCAGAAAAACCCGGTGAAGGAGATAACGTTCCCGGCTTCGATGGCTTCCCAGATGATGATACAGTGATTCATGCAGGAGAAGCGCCAAACATCAATTCCGGCATTATCGCCGATAATGGGTTGGAAAGTTCTGGGGTCTCCATATATAGGCAACACAAACATTGTGTCCACTGTTTAGATTTAATCACGTCAGTGTGCTTCTTGATATCAGCAGTGCTAGCTGGGCGGTAGTAAAGGATCATTGTTATTTGTGCGGACTAATTATCTCTTGACTGGACTGTTCGTTAACTGTAAACTTGTCTGCTGTGTCAGATGTTGCTGTGGGGCAGATTTTGCAGGCCTGTGTGTGTGTGTTTTTTTTTTTTTTTATTTATCTGTCAGCCTTCGGTAATTATTGAGCATTGCCCGTGAGAGAGTTTGTCACTGTACAGTAATCTCGTCACTGTATTCTTGCTACAGTCACCTGTTTCTGCACACAGCTGTGCCATATGAAGATAAAATAACTTTTCACAAAACATTCAGAAAAGCGACTGTTATTTTATTTTGTTTACTGAGTGTTTTTTTGGAGACACAAATTCTGAATGGCATTTGTTTTCCTTTCACATGTATCCGATACCTGAAAAGAATTAAACCTGGATAGAGATTGTGTAGATTTTGTTACTGATTATTGTGGCTGAAAATGACTTTTAATATTTAATTAATATTGACAGAAAAATCAGGAATATGATGGTGTACATATTTCACAGAATGTTCATATCATGAAAGTATCCTGAATATCCACTGTTAATCAGACATTCCTGAATCTTCACAAACTATAGTATTGTTGTGTACAAGTACTTCTGGAGGTTCTTTGATAACAGCAGCAGCGGTCATTATCATCATATCTTCATTAGAATGCAGGGACACACACACAAATGTGCCACTGATTGACATTTTCATAATGATCAAAAAATGACTGCCTAAAAATCAGTAAATGACAGTGATGTCCCCTGAATTATACTGATCAACAACAGCCTCTATGAATCACACTGCCATCTCTCAGATGCACCCCACTTTGATTGGTTGGAATATTTTTTTGCTTTAATTAGACCCTTATGTTTCCTTGGTTTCAAAAGAACATGAAAAGGAATTTTTGAAAGAAGTAACAAGAAGTTGTCTCACAAGGTCTCTGTGTGGGTTCCAGTGCCCCATTGTGGGTGTAGAGAGAAAAAAAGGCATTGACTCACTGGTACTTATCGAGCAGTTTATGAAAGGCCACTAGATAAAGTGGTGCTGAAATCGAATTAAATGGGCTGAAAGGTGCTTAAACCACCACACAATGTGCCAAATGCTTTTTTTAAGAGCAAACACATGGGAAAGTCTTAGTGAGCAATTTATTGGCATCAAATCAAGAGTTCTTTCATCTCTGGCTGAATATAAGTAATTATGATGTTAATATGTGATAGAAAACACTAATTCATGCATTTGTGGCAATGCTCCATCTTGCTTACTTGATGATACTACAGTGTGAATAATATTACTGCCTCTTTCTGTTTTGTTTATTTTTGTTTAAACTAAAAGGGTTTGAAAATATGGACGACAGATGTAAATTGCTAGGAGTGAAATATGGGATGTATGCTAACTCTTGTTACATGCTGTTGCTTTTATTGTACATAATATTCCTGTTTGTCACAGAAGATTATGACAGTACATGATTTCTTCATAGAATGTTAATGACTATTTCAGAAAACCAACCCTCTTTTAACAGACACATTTTATGACCAGACTTATGAAAAGAAATACTTTACTGATAGCTTTTGCTTTCAATTTTCAGAAGGGAAATAATAGTTATGATATAAAAGCTCCAGAAACTGTTATAATCTAGGTTTGGTTATTAAAACATAACAAACCCAGGAATATGGGTTAGAGTGGTGAGTTAAGACAACTGTCTTCCTCCCTTCATGAGTTAAGACAACTGTCTTCCTCCCTTTGTGAGTTAAGACAACTGTCTTCCTCCATGTGTGAGTTAAGACAACTGTCTTCCTCCCTTCATGAGTTAGACAACTGTCTTCCTCCCTTTGTGAGTTAAGACAACTGTCTTTCTCCCTTTGTGAGTTGAGACAACTGTCTTCCTCCCTGTGTGTTTCACTGAAGAGCATGTTGTACAAGACAGCTAATTAGTGATTTGTTCAAACTGGCTGTTATTGGGCTAAATGGTACAGTTATCACAGCCTAGCTGTAAACCACAAAACAATGTGCCAACCATTTTTTTAAAGCAGCAGTTCTCAACCTGTGGGTGGCAACCCTTTTGGGGGTCGAATGATCCTTTCACAGTAGTCCTCTAAGACCATTGGAAAACACATATTCATTGAAGTTATGAAGTAGCAACCAAAATAATGGTATGGTTGAGGGTCGCTACAACAAGAGGAGGTGTATTAAAGGGTCACGGCATTAGCAAGGTTGAGAACCACTGTTCTAAGGGCAAAAGTAGAAGAAGAAGAAACAACTATCTGGGAAAGAAAGGGTTAAAGAGATTAACAATAAGAATAGGCTGCATTTAAAAAAAAAATCTTTTTCTGGTCAGGAGTTTGAGTTACTGGTAAGAAGTTAGAATAACAACTGTCTTGAACAGCAGTTTTTAATAAGACAGTAAGTTGGAATAACAGCTGTCTTGTTTAGGTGTTTAATTTTTTAGTTAGATAATAAGTTGGAGTACTAACTGTCTTAGTCAGGCATTTAAGGTTTCAATAAGACAATTTTGGACATGTGTTTCTAAGTTGTTTTTTTAAAGACATTAAACTATAAGAACCACAGACAGGGGCTAAGAGATTTCCCACAGTCTATGAGACAACTCAAGAACATAATCAAGAAGGGGAAGTGTGGTTGTCTGCTTGTAGAAGAGGATGTTCTGGGGAACACAATAAGACTTCAACCTTTGCCCACCATTTTGCCTTACAAACATTATAGTCCACTCATTTATATATGAACATCTGAACATGTTATCACTCACTCATTAGGAACATTCAGTTTGTTTTTCAAAGCATCATCGTTGACCACATAGTTTCATCCAGCTTTGTGACGTTATACAATCTCATGATCTAATGCCCAGTTGAGAAAACAATTATAGTACTCTGTATTTTTTATTTTTATTTTTAACTCTTAAAAATTTTTCTTCTATTTTTCATTTTTTTTCCAGCTCTGCTGCATTTTATCTCCCCCCCCCCCCCCCCCCCCTCTTCCTTTTTTTTTTTAAATTGAAGTATATATGCTGTAAGAATTTTAGTAGCACAGCTCCACACTTGTTCAATAATTCTACTTATTTAAGTAGATTTTATTGCGCTGTTGACTTTTTCATTTCTCATGGTGCTGTCTCAGTTTTCTATCTCATTTCTCACTCATGTTTTCAGTGTGCTATCTCATTTCTCACTCATGTTTTCAGTGTGCTATCTAATTTCTCACTCCTGTAGTGTGCTATCTCATTTCTCACTCATGTTTTCAGTGTGCTATCTCATTTCTCACTCCTGTAGAGTGTGCTTTTTCATTTCTCACTCATGTTTTCAGTTCGCTTTCTAAATCCTTAGACTGCTGTAGTGCTCTTTTCGTCATTGCAGTGGTTTCTAATTTTTTTTCTTCGCTTTATCATACCTCACTGTTACTTTCTTCTTCTCCACCTTCACTGGTAGTAAACTCTAGAAGAAAGTTCTGGTTGTACATCCCCATAAGGACTTTAGTCTTGATCCAGGACCTGTGTGTGTTGCATGCACATCCGTTTTACAGAACAGACTTATTTGTATGAACATTGTTGGTTCCTTGCCTTTCAGGCATACCCGATCCGACTTTGAAGGAAGCCCCTAATTAGTTGACTCTCTTTTGACGTGCTCAGGAGAGGCAGTGGGTCTATTCTTGTTTTACCCACAATAGGACCCTGGAACCCGCATGGGGAACCGTTACCAGATATATAGATTCCTATCACTTCACAACCCTTAACAGTAGTCTCTGTTTAAGAGTTTAAATTCTCATATTTAATCCAGAATTTATTAGATGATATTTTATATTTAGATATCAACAGACTTTAATAAAGTTATCTTCAAAATAGTAGAACAGTCATACAGACTTTTATTATATTTTTGTGTACATCCTTTATATCTCTCAAACACTTTTCTGTGTTATACAACAACAAAACTAATGAGAAAGAGAACAGATCTCCTTCCCTGGTGTGTTAGTTTAATGCTTCATTTGCGGTCAAGGCTAAAGATTCATGTTTACAGATTTATCTGAACTGGATATTCTGAAAATATTTCTGAGTGAATATTTGATGTAAAAAGTATTTGTTCCACATTTTAATGCCTTCACACTGTTTGCCAATGATTGATATCATATTCTTTACCACATTTGCCAGTGTTGAATTTGTGGTATTAAATTGCGTAAATCATTTTTTTTAGTTCCTACATTAAAAATCAGATATAATTTGTATCATTTCACATCTGATCATGATGTTATCAAAGGAGTCATACTATATTAAAAACAAACACTGTTGTTACCATGGTAACAATTTGCGTAACTTGCCAACTAACTTTGTGATTTAAAAAAAGCCCATGTTATCTTCTCTTTGTGCTGTATATAGAATAATTATTGCCTAAATGACCAATCATCTTGCTTTTTAAAAAAAAATGAAATGCTGACCAATGAATATAAATATTTATGTAACTGTGATTTTGAATGGTAGTTTATTATATAAGTATTTTGTGAATGATGCTTGACCAATATTGAATTTTTAGCATGGTAACATTATAAATTTAAAGTTTATCATTGAAAGAAAAAAATAGAACTAATAATAAATAACTTGATACTTAATTCATTTAATCTCAAAAGATTTTCCAGCAGAATTTATTAGAGAGAAAAACTTCACAAATGCAAGCCTTTAGGAGACGATAAATGCATAATGGCAAATGGGGAAGCCAGATTTCTGCACTGTGCTCAGACCAAGTGTAAAATGTGAGAGAACACATAATACACTGATTGAGACTCAAGGGAAGAAGCCAGTTATGTGTGAGTTGCTTGGGTCTAAAAGAGTTAACATAATAAAATGAAGAATTATTTTGGCTCTTACCTTTCGTTTTGCAGCTATAAAATACACATAATGGTTACATAATTGTGATTGATTATAAAATGTTAACAATTAGCTGAAATCATACTAAAATTGTTGTTTCTTCAAGTATATAATGTTTATGCAAGAAGAAAAAAAACTGAAA